ATATATTCGAAAAGTGCACTACAATTTGTGAAATCAAGGAAGCGATACCTTGATTTGATGGTGATTGTAGATTTCGTCCCAATGCCTTCTGGAGTGGTGGTTATATTGGTCAACGTCAAAATCACTGTCAAACCGTAAACACTGTAATTAAATGGCGTGGAATGTCGTCGGTGGATGGCAATGATGGAAGGTAGGAGTGGCGTACGACGGCGAGATTGAAACGTCGGAAGGAAAAACCGACATTGCATTGCCTTCTTTCGGCGCTGATTTTTTATTTTTCCTGGCTTTTTACCATTGAAGAACGGTAATCGATTATCGGCCCACACTCGAATGATTGCTCCTGCCGTCTTCTGCCTTGGGCATAAAAAATGGGCCCTGTGTGTATAATGATACCTAATTTTCTAATCTTTTATGACCATTGACCAACTTCATAAAAAACTGACAACCGAATAACCATTTAATAATTTCAAGGGCATGTTAAATAGTCTACAAATCGAGATATTTTAGACTATCCGTTCTTATTTGTCTAGTTCAAATGGTATCTTAAATAAGGTTTTTTCACACAGCTTTAAAAACTAAAACTCAACTGTTTCTCAAGAAAACCTATCAGATGGAAACAACTCACTATAAGTAGTTCTACAACTTGAAGACTACCATCCTTTTTAAAGGGTAAAAGCCTCCGTCAACTACCGACGTGATAATTATGGAAGCAAATGGATAGATTCTTGAAGATCCCACATGACAGGTATATCAAGTTAAGAATGGTTTTCATGCACATGCACAATTTCCTCAATATTTAGATGAACACCACAAGGGCTTTTTTGGAAATATGTAGTTTCTCCTTTACTTTCTATTTAAATTGACATGCCTAACATTACAAGCCTAATATAAAATGTGCTGACGAGTGATGATAGTTTTGTAAGTTACAACTTGCAATCAAAACGAAACATTACAATTTTCATTAGACCAATCCAATGCAGCTAACTATATATTAAAATAACCTCTAGCAAGATGGCAGAGGATAAGAGTTATTCCAATAAATAAAAGAAAAATGCAACAATTACCTACACACAAAAGTTAGCAATACCAGTTAACCTACAATAATAATCAACACTATGATCAAATTTGTTAATAAGAGATGCTTGCAAGCATTCATGGAAGCATGTCTTCATTTGTGGGCTGTTACAATGGCTGAATTTAGAACCAGCTACTAAATTTGACAGCAAGATAATACTCAAGCTTCCAAACCAAGTTTGAACTTCTACTCAAAGATAGTTAACAACCACAAAAACAAAGATTTTTGTACAAAAATGCCTCCCCCTGTAATAAAAGAAATACGATTTTGCAGAAATAGTCCTTTTATTACTAAAATTACACAAATAGCCCATGTTCTTACATTTCTGTAGAAAATAGGAAAAAGTCCATGTCCTTAAATTGTAGCCATCACCACTCATTTCTTTTCATTGCAAGGATTAGCAACATAATGCTCTTGGTTTTTTAATGTTATAGCTAACACGAACAGTAATGGCTATAACAATTTAAGAGACAACCTAATAAGCGCTCCATATGTCAATTATCTTACCTCTTATGTTAAATGATCAACACTTCTTTTTCTGTGTAAAGTCCCTACAAATCAGTGATTCAAATAATATTTAATGGATTCGGGTCATCATTGTTCCACCCTACCTAAAACCATTATTAGCATTCTTATTGAACGAATACCTTAATATGAGAATAACTATAAAAAAACTTTCTCTCACCATGAAAACTTGAGAACCAAAGAAACAACAGTACCACAACACAAACAAATCCAACTACAAGTTCGGGTCCTACAATATGATTTGGAACTCATAAGTCAATGACAAAAAGAAAAAAACAACATAGATTGTAGGGTTCAAATAAAATAAAAAAAAATACCAAAAGCCTTGACATTTTTCACATCAAATTGTACTTTGAAAGTATAATAATTTAATAAGAAAAGACATAAATTTTTTTGAAAATATGAATTAAAAATGAAAGGATGATGCTATATTTGAAAGTCAATGCTTAAATAAGAAAATAAAATATTTTTTTTGAAAATAAGAATTAAAAATTTAAGTATGATGCTATATTTGAAAGTACAATGCTTAAATAAGAAAAATAACATATTTTTTATTGAAAATAAGTACAATGCTATTATTTTCAAAGACGAATTACCATTTTTCCCTCAGCCTTATTTATACATTTGTTTAAAATATGATAATTGTCAAATGACCGTTATGCCCCCCCAACCCAATTGTGATTTTTGAAATGTACTTTTTTTTGTTTGTCTAATTATATATTTAACATTTATTTCCAAATCTTCATTTTTTTAATTTTTTGTTTTATTTTCTTATTTAACCATTGTACTTTGAAAGCACAATGGTTTAATAAGAAAAAAAACATAATATTTTTTGAAAATATGAATTAAAAAAGAAAGTATGATGCTATATTTGAAAGTACAATGCTTAAATAAGAAAATAACACAATTTTTTTGAAAATAATAATTAAAAATTAAAGTATGATGCTATATTTGAAAGTACAATGCTTAAATAAGAAAAATAACATAATTTTTATTGAAAATAAATACAATGCTATTATTTTCAAAGACGAATTAGCATTTTGCCCGACCCTATTTATACATTTTTTTAAAATATGACAATTGTCGAATGACCGTTATGCCCCCATTTATAGTTATGTTTAATAATTACCATCATCGCAAACTAAACATTTGAGATGTTGAATTTCAGACATGGACCCTTATATTCCAACAAACAACTTTCATGACTAAGTGCTTAAGCTATTAAGCACTTTAATGTTTCACAATATGATTGAAAGTGTGGATCAGACAAGATACAACAACACGAAAACATTTCAATACAAATGGGGGGAGGAGAGGTAAAATGGTCCAAAATAAAAAATGATGCAGGAAGGGTAAAATGGTCTAAAATCATTGAAGTTAATTAGGAATTTGTTATAATTGTAAAAAAATAATACATGTATTTTTCTTTTTAAAGAACATTGTTGATAATGGTAATAAAAGTATGAGCACTTGCAATACAATTTATAGGAGGAATTACCAAAACACCCTCATCATTTGTGGTTATATCCTCATTCCCTGAATTCATTATGAAGTCTCCTTTTAAAGTCCTGATACATGTTTTCTGCAACAACCAAACACCTAAATAGGAAATAAAAAAAAGCACTCAAATCAGTAAAAACTTACCATGAACCTTCAAAATTAGATAGGAAAAACTAATCAAAAATGTTTTTCTTTATAAACCAAACATTGTTCTTGCTACCTGAATAAGAAAACTGACAATGGGTAGACTAATAAAACCACATGGAAAACAAATTGTACCTTTGAAGAACAATGGATAAATACTTAAATTACAAAAATGCCCCTATCCGCATATGCTAATTGGGACTCAAATTATTTCCCTTTTTACCTCTCCTTCTATAAGGAACACATTACTATTTCTTTCATTTATCGCTTACATAAAATTGAAAGATTTGAACCGGAAACTAATCATGGATATGTCCTAATTTATAAATATATGCAATTATCTATTGTTTCAAGGCTAAAGAATGAGTATTTTGTTGAGTTGATCGGTATTGCTTGGAATGGAACAACCCAATCTTGATATATCAGTATGTAACCATGGGTTATTTGGATGATGTACTCCTTGAGAGATTTCTGCTCTCCCTCTTCAGTCCCACTAACTTTCATTTCAAAATTACAAAATATAATAATATAAGTAGAAAGAATGTAATGAACAGTTTCTTACCAGTGCATCAAACTTGTGAATTTCTAGACCTATAAAGAAGATTAAGTAAAAAAGAAACAATGATACATGGTTATACAGATGACGTTCTTAATCCAGTGAGCTCATTAACCCAAAAAGAAAAAACCCTTACCTTGCTGTTAATCAAGCACCAGAAACAGAAGTAGCATTACTTTCAAAATCCAGAAAGTCGGATCAGGTCAAAAATATTCCATCAAAATCTAGTTCTTAAATGTGTTGTATATTGCGGCTAACAAAGCTTGAATTTATAGCAATGTCTGTATTACCAGTTTTCTGTTAGGAGGATGATTGAAATGACAAGTTGCCCCAAACCTACAAAGGCCTGTTCTGATATAGTACGAACAATCTGGTTCTCCTTCACGAACAGGATAAGGTCCTGACTCCATTGATTCCCTTGATCTCAATTTCAATTGCCACAATGCATCTGAAATACAATCATAAACTAAACAAACCATAAAAATCATCCATATACAAAAATAACATCACATTGAGAACTGATGACTCCGATTACGCCATTTTCAGCAACAAAGTCAAAATCAAACTCCATAAACCATCAATTCTCCATCGTTAATGTACAAAAACAAACAGAGAAAGGAAAAGGGACCTTCGTTTAACGGCGGAGACAAAGACGACGATACTTCGGCGGTTACAGGCGGTCGTGACATCGGAATTCCACTATCGAACTCCATACCACCACCACTGAAACGATGTCATCTCATCCAATTGAGTGAGAACGTCCTTGTACTAATCCAGGAAAAAGCGTTTTCAGCGGGTTTGTGTTCCATCATTGATCAGACGCTACAAAGGTTTGAAGCAATTGATCGATGGAATGATCGATTATATTGAAATCGACCACTTATATAGTGACGAGAGTTAGTGATTGAGAACGTGGGGAGAAATAGGAGGAGAGATGCAAGTGATTTGTGGGATGTAGAACGTGGGAGGTGGGCAGTCGTAGGCTGAGGAAGGAAGAAACTTCCGGTTAACCGAGTTATCGCGGCTGAGATCGAAAGTAGGGGGAGTTTAAACGGATGTGATGTGTTTGGCGGTTTTTCCCGTCAATAGAATAAATAATTTAGTTCCAAAAATTCTCAAAGTTTGCATTTCAGTTTTATTAAGATAAATTTTTTTGAAATTTTGATTTTTAAATAACTATTTTTCACCATTTTAAATCTTTGAATAATCATAAAATCAAAGAAAAATAGTAAATTATCATGAAAAATTCTTATAATTTTTGTGTAACTGTTTTACAGTGTACATAATCTAGGAAAATTAATAAAATGTATTTTCAAACAATTTAACATGACTTTTCTGATTTTTGTGTATTTATTCTATAAAAATAGAAATAATAAGAGAACACTTTCAAAAATTCCCCAAACCTTTTTTACTAGTGTTATTATATATATAAGAGCTGAGAAAAATATAAAAGTTGGTTTCAAAACAGTTTAAATATTTTTTTTTTTGTTTTATTCACTTAAATAAACATTAATTCAGGAATAATTATTAAACAGTTAAGGAAAATTACCAAACATTTTGTAAAAGTAATATACAGTGTATATAATCTGGGAAAAATACCAAAATTGGTTTTTAAATAGTGTAACCCGATTTTATGATTTTTGAGCATTTATTCTAACAAAAATGGAGATAAATAGAAAACAGTTTCCAAAATTACCCAAATTATTGTTTTATACTGTTATTAAACATTCTTAAGCTAGGAAAAATATAAAAATGGATTTCTTAACTGTTTAACCCAATTTTATGATTTTTGTGGATTTAAGTGTATTAAATCTTGGGAAAATAGAAGAAAAATAGCATACAGAAGAGAAAAATAATCATAATTTTTATGTAGCATCCTAATATATTATAAGGTGTTTTGGTAAATTTTCATTGATTTTGGATGAGAAAAAGTATTTTTCCTGTTTTTAGTCCATTATAAATACAAAATCGGGGAAAAATAGGTATGCATTATGAAAAATTCTGAAATTATTTATCTGAGTACTCCACATGAGGTAACATCTGTGAAAAATCTTGGATATCCTTTTCACATTCACTAAAGTGGTTTTATGATTTATTTGAATTAAACAAAAAGAAGATTCAAAACCATACCAAACAGTAACAAAAATCGATGAAACTCGCTGAGATGTCATTATTTACTTTCGGGGTCATCCACGAATTTACCTATGATCTATAGACCCCAGAAAGTATTTTATATGAATTAATGCCCTATTTTCTTGCAATAATTATCATAATTCGAGAAAAACGAATTAGTTTCTGAAAATTTACAGATCATCTTATTTTGTTGGTCGGATTCTGGAAAAAATCGCATTTGAATAGAAAAGAAATCGTAGGTATTTATTTGGTAATAAATCCTTCATGAACATATTTGAAAGCTTTTAACAACAGACTTTGATCATCAAGCATCTAAGCTTGAAGATCATCACATGCATGTTGTTTTGAAGGAGATTCATAAGTTTTAAATGGTCAAAAATCGTTTTGAAATGAAAAATTAGGGTGCATGTGGTGATTTTCCACCAAAACTTGTAGAAAAGTGCATTTCCATGATTTTGACTTAGATTTAGGTCATGGATCTTCACCATTTTGTAACATGCAAGATGTTTTTGGTGAAAATCTACCTCCATCATCATCAAAACCATGAGTGTGAGAAAATGTTCATGATTTTACCATAGAATGGAGTAGAAGAAGGAGAAAGTGCAAGAAAAATAGCAAAACTTGAAGGAAAGTGAAGTAAAATGAAAGAAAATTCATGATTACCTTCAAGATTACTTCAAATGATGAAGATTTAGAGTTTAAGGAGTGTTTTTGGCTTCATTTTCTGGAAAAAGTTCGTGGTTATAGAGAGAGGATGAGAGAAAATGGTGTTGGGGGAATTGAAGAGTGAGAGAGAAAAGTGAAGAAGATAGAGTGTGTAGGTTGGAAAAGTTATTATGTGTGTTGGGAAGAGGAGAGATATGGGGAGAGAGATCTGGATTTTTCAATGAGGAGAGAGACTTCCCATCTCTTCCATTTAATTTATATAATTTCCCTCAATTTTTATAAAATTTTCAATATATTTTTAAAAGTTGCATTTGTCTAGTTTTTGTTTATAAATAAAATCCTTGATTTTCTTTTTACCTTATAAATTAGAGATAAATGTTAATGTTATAAATTTTATTTTCTTTGAATGAATTTTCATAATTTTAATCATTATAAGATGATATTATAAGGTTCATAATTATTTTTATAGAATTTTTAAGGTTAAAGTTTATAAATATGAGATTTTATGGCTTTTAGGGTTTTGGAGTTTAATACATCTTTGGATATCAAAATAAATTGAATCTTTGAGACTTCAAATTATTTTTGTGTTCCCTAACTCTTATTCAAGTTAGAAAAATTTTTGTAATTCCTTTTTTTCGGTTTATTGGCATTTATATGTAGTGGTTTTGAGATTCAAGTGAACTTGAAGAACCAAGTGTACTAGTCATAGTTTCAACTTTGACTTAAGTTCCACGATACTCTGACCTTATTTCTACTACTAGGTCAAGTGCATAATGTGTGTGTATGATTCATGAAAAGGTATTCGAGTCAAAGAGTGACCCGAATATGGATAGTCTCTACAGTTAAGTAGTTATACAATTCACATATCAATGTGAAATCTAAGTACACCATCCATTGTTTCTATCTACTTCCAAGTTTCTAGTAGGTTATAACTTAGCTTCTAGTTACTAAGTCTAGTATGTGTCGTGCCTATACGTGCAACTAAGTTTATCAATTCTAGTGCTGACTCAAATTTTGACGGTTGTTACACAACCCAAAAGGACCATGCTACTATCAAATCAAGTTCATACCAATTATAGTTATGGGTTTTGACACCTAATCCAACAAGTCAAACTTGGTCAAAAAGTCAATAGTCAACAGAAGTCAACAAAAGTCAAAGTCCATGGCAGTTGAGTACACCCAACGTACTCAACATACACCCATCATACGCAGCCTGATCCCACTCATTCATTAAGCACTTAATCCCTTAAGGACTTTTCACCTAAACTCAGATCTAGCCTCAAAACATTGTCTTAAGTCATAAAGTTTTCACCTTTATGACTTTCCATGGCTAGGGAAGGTCCAAAAGCTAAAACCCTAACTTATT